TTGGAATTTGGAAAGGTGTGCGTCAGGGCTGTATTCTTTTTCAGTCTACATGCTGAGCAAGTGATTTGAAGAAGCTGCACCATATGAAGAAGAATGTGACATTAGCGTTGGAGGAAGAGTCACCAACAAAACCTGCATGAGGGAGATGACACAACTTTGCTCACTGAAAGCAAGGAGGATTCAGGGCACTTGCTGTAGAAGATCAAGGACTACAACCTTCAGTATGGACTGCATCTCAACATCGAGAAAACACAAATCCTTACCACTGTACCAGTACATGACATCATGATAGATGGAGAAAGATTGACATTGTCAGTGATTTCATCTTACTTGCGTCTACTAAACATCCTTAGTACCAGGAATCAGGAGACATAGTGCATTGAGAAAGTTTGCAGTCAGGGAGCTCTTCACAGACTTGAAGAGCGATGATGTCAGTTTAAGGATTAAGGTTCACCTGATTCAAGCCACGATTTTTCCATTCAACTTCTTTGCACCTGAGAGCTTGATAGTGAATAAAGATGACAAAGGAAGAATCAATGTCCTTGAGTTGTAGAGCTGTAGAAGAGGACTGAGTATCCTATGGGCTGACAGAAGAACACATAGTTGTGTCTTAGAGGGAGTGCAACCAGAGTTTTTTATAGAGGCAAGAATGGTGAAGCTTCATCTCAGTTACTTTGAGCACATTGTTAGGAGAGGCTGCGCTTTGGAAAGGGACCCCATGCTTGGAAAGGTCAGGGGCAAAGAGCAAGACCCTCAGCGAGATAGCTTGATATAGTGGCTGCAGAAATGGGCTCAAGTTGTTGTTGTTGTAGGTGCCATAAAATCAAGTACAACTCATAGCGACCCAGTGAACATCAAATCTGAACCCTGTCCTATCCTGTGCCAGCTTCATAGTTCCTGACACAGTAGAGCCCTTTACGGCAGTCACTGTGTCCATCTGGTTTAAGGTCTTCTCCTTCACTGACCTTCTACCCTCCCAACTATAATGTCCATGCCCAAGAAATAGACCCTCCTAGCAACATGCCCAATGTATGTGAGGTGAAGCCTCATCATTCTTACCTCCAGAGAGCACTCCAGCTGCACCCTCTCCAAAACATATTTGTTCTTTTGGCCGTCCATGGGATGTTCAGTGCTCTTCTCTAACACCGCATTTCAAAGGCCTCAGTTCTTCTTTTGTCATACTTTTTCATTGTCCAGCTCTCAGATACATAGCAAGTGATCAGACCATGTCCTGAATCAGATGCACCTTAGTCCTCAAACTGATAGCATTACTCCTCTAGATCCCTAACTGCAAATTTTCCCAGTGCAATGTGTCTCCTTATTTCCTGACTGCTGGTACCAATGGCGTTAAATGTGGGTCCGTGGAAGATGAAATTAAGAAGGGAGTGTGTCATGTTTATATTCTTTCTCTATACCTGTTTAATATGCATACTGAGCAAATTATTTAAGAAGCTGGACTCATTGAAGAGGACTGTGGCATCAGGATCAGAGGGAGACTCATCAGTTACCTGCATTATGCAGATTGCTTGCTGAAAGAGAGGAAGACTTGAAGCATTTAATGCAGAAGATCAAGGAATGGAGCCTTCGGTATGGATTGCATCTCAGAGTCAAGAAAAGCAAGGTTCTTACCACTGGAGTGGTAGCCAACACCACGATGGATGGAGAAGAGATTAAAACTGTCAACAGGTTCATCTTGCTTGGATCTTACTTGGGCTCAAGCATGTCATAGATAATGTGGATGCCGCGGAATAGAGCAGGGTTCAGGGGTCACTGTGAGTCATGTGACTTGACAGCACCTAACAACAACACTAACTAATGATCTTGAGCATTTCTTCATTTGTTTGTTGGCCGTCTGAATGTTTTTGGTGAAAAATCTATTCATGACTGTGCCCTTTTTGTAACTGAGTTGTCTGTCTTTTGTTGTTGAGGTGTTGGGATTTTCTTTACATTTTATACGAGAATTTCTTTTCTGATGTGTTATTACCAAATATTTTCTCCCAATCTCTGAGTTTTCTTTACACTCTTTGGTGCACACAAATATTTGATTTCTGGGCATTCCCATCACCTGGTTTATTCTTGCTAATTGTCTATTTTCAGTTATATTGTATAGTATATTTTTGCCACTCACTAGGGTTCCAGAGTTTGCTCTCGTTTTTTTTCTTGGATGGTTTTTATACCTTGGGTTTATCTACCTATGTCTGTAATCCATTTTCAAGTGTTTTGACACTCTAGTTTGTTTCCATTTAAGATGTCAAGAATGAGTCTTGTTTCCATTTCCTGGAAATGAGAGAACCTATTTCACCATTGTTGTTGTTGTTGTTAGATGCTGTCGAGTCGTAGATGACGCATAGTGACCCTATGAATGAAAGGCGTGAGCACTGTTCACCGAGATTCCAGAGGCAAGCCATTCTGGAACTGGATGCTGCTCCTGCTTCCAGGCTTGTTTTAATCAGGAAGCTCCACCAAACGCTGTCCACAATGGGTAACCGTTATTACATTTGGCACCTCAGTGTCACAGTGTTCAGCATCACAGCAACCATGAGTTGCCTCTGTACAAGTGCACAGACCAGTGCTATACCACCTAGAAGAATGTTTGACAAAAACCAATGTGAACCAGGCCTGAGGGCCACAGATTAAAATCACACACCTTGGGCTTGGTAGCCTAACTTTCTGTCCACTAGGCCAATGTAGCTCTCTCTATGTTGTCGTTGTTATTTTGCCATTACTGTTTGTTAAAGGGCCCGTCTTTCCCCCACTTAATGAATTCCATCCCCTTGTGAAAGAGCAGCTGTCCACAGGTGAACTGATTTATTTCTGGGTTCTCATTTCTATTCTGTTGTTGCACGTACCTGTACCTGTACAGCACCACGTTGTTTTGATTACTATTGCTGTGTGGTCAGGAAATGTAAGGTGCCCTACTCAGTTTTTCTTCTTTTTTCTACAAGTTTACTTATTCGGAATCTTTTTCCGTATATAGATAGTGATTACTTTTCCCATCTTTGAAAAATCATAGGATGGGGTCCGGATCAATACTATATCATGTCTTTAGACCCAGGGTGGTATGGATGGGGGCATGACTAGAGAATTGGGAATAGGTCTGTTGGAGACAATGAAATTGGCTTAGGATAGGGCAGGGTTCAGAGCTAATGTACATGGGTTGCTATGAGTCGCAGGCAACTTGATGGCATTTAACAACAACAACAGATTGTTCTTGGTAATGTTGCCATTTATATGATGATGATACATCTTCTAGTTCATGAGCAAATGGTATGTTTTCCCATTTTTCAGATGTGTCAGGGTTTCTTGTAATATTTTATAGTTTTTTTAATATTCTTTTTTAAAAAAATTTATTCATTTCAATGAAAATTTACAGAGACTTTGGATTTCCATTCATTCATTGTTGCACTTTTCTCCCCTCCTAACCCTCCCCCCTAGTACACTACCCTCTTGGAAAAAAGTAAAAGAAAAATTCTTTCATTGTTTTACAATCCCTCCCCCAGGTCCACTCCACTATACAGCCTTTGCTCTGGACTCCTGTCATGACAAAAATACCTAATAATTTTCCCTCTTAAACAGTTTTCTCCCTCATCTGTTTCAATGCAGTATACATTATTGAACTCATCCTTCTCAGTCTCCTCCCAACCTCGAGGTCAGTCCTGCTTTACAACAGTGGCACCATGCATTATTTGTCCTTTTGTGACTGAGATATTTCACTCAGCATAATGTCCTCCAGGGTCACCTATTTTGAATAATATTGCATGAGTTCCTTGTTTTTCAATGCCGTGTAGTATTCCATTGTGTGAATATACCACAGCTTCTCTATCCATTCATTTGTTGATGGGCACTTAGGTTGTTTCCAACTCCTTTGCTATTGTGAACAAAGCTGAAATAAACATGGGTGTGCATATATCTGCTTGGATGTCAATTACGGTCTCTTTGGGATGTATTCCCAGTAGTAGAATTGTTGGGCCGTATAGTTTTCTTTGTATAGTTCTTTAGTATCTCTAGTTAGATTGAGTCCTAAATAGTTCATCTTTTGGGAGAATATTGTAAATGGTGTTGTTTTACTTGTTTCCTTTTCAGATTCTCTGTTCTGTAGAGTACACTGTATCTTATTACCTTAATGTTATCATCTCGCACTAGAGTGTCAGTCTCTGTGGTTCATGATCCTGTGAACGAGCCCAGAACCCCAGCTTGGCCCCTCCCTATCTGCCCCCACACACTGGGCAGCTGGTGCCTTGCTGAAACTGTAAATGGGCTTTTGCAGGATTCGGTGGTCTTTGAGGATTTGGCTGTGAACTTCACCCAGGAAGAGTGGGATTTGCTGCATCCTTCTCAGAAGAACCTCTATAAGGATGTGATGGTGGAAACCTTCCAGAACTTGGCATCAGTAGGTGAGGATAGTTTCATTCCTTCACTTAACCTTTTCAGGAACAAATCTTCATGTTGTCCTTTTTATTCCTTAAAATCTCAAGTCTCCTTTTGTTTTCACCCATGAAAATTTGCCTCTGATTAGGGCCCTTTTAACACAGTAATTTTGCTACAGTGAAATCTACTCTTACTCTCTTTAATTACCACAAACACCAGAGCATTGGCTCATCTCATGAATGTGCTTGATAACCTTCACCATCCTCCCTCATCCTGAGCTCTTCTCCATGAGCAGGCTGGCTGCCCACACCCCCATGACATTCTCCAGTGGGACCTGGGATAGTGGAAGAAAACTTTTTTAGGGCTTCTGCCCATGAGCACCAGGAAGGGCAAGGATTCGCAGAGGAAGAGGGTGTGGTCAAGGGAATGTATTTGGAAATGTCAGTTAGAAAAGGAAATCTACCTTTGAGAAGGATGAGATTTGTGATTGGTATAACTTCTGCTTCCATTTGTGGAAGTATTTCTTAATGTGTAGAATCCTTAGGTTTCAAATGGTGACTCTTTGGGTATAAATGGTGAATACATTTACATATTAAATGAAAGATTAGAGACCTAAGTCAACTCACTGGCATCTCTCAGAAAGGAACATAGTTTCAAGAGCTCAGCTTAAAAAACAAAAGCTCAGCTTCACAAAGACCATGGACCACTGTTTACTCGGCTACACGTACCAGAACAAAATCCGCTGCCACTGGACTGGTTCCAACTTACCTGATTTACCTGATTATTCTGAGTCTAAATCTTTACGGATTTAACAGTTAACCTTTTGTTCAGCAGCACAAGGTGTAACACTTTACCACCAGACTGCATCTGATACAGTCTTCATAAGATGGGTCAGCTCCACAGCAACTGATTTCCTCAGTGCAGAGGCTGATGTTTAGACCTGTTTTCTTTTTTGTTTGTTTGTTTTTTATCTTTTTTTTTATACCTGTTTTTTTAATGATACTAGTCCTCAGCCTTCCTTTACTTGTATGTCCGTTCTTGTAAAGTTCCTTGCCTTTTTGCCATCAGTATATGAAAAGAAATCGTCATGCTACCTCTACTCTTTCTTCTGTCAACTTTATTTCCTCACATAAAATAAAATTATTTTTTATCAATGTTTGCAGATTGTTGTCCTGAACTTAACACAAGTGGATCAAGTCCTCAGCACTATGCTTTTGGGACTGAAATATCCAAAGAAGAAAAAGTAAATTCAGTAAGAGATGATTCATGGCACAGTCTGGTAGAGAAGGGAGGACTTGATAATATAGAAGATCAGCACCAAATCCAGGAGAGGCATTCAAGGTGAGTGGCAGAAATACAAAAATGAAGGAGTCTCCCCGTGGAACGTTAGACTGTCTTAAAAATGTAGCTGTAAATATAGCTAAACAAGTGACTACTTGGAGAGAATTTTCACAGCACAACTTTTTCCTTTTTTTTTACATTTCTTTTTTAAAAATTAATTTTAATGATAGTTTACAGAGAGACTTAGGGTTTCCAGTCATTCATTGTTGTACTTTTCTCCCTGCCCATCCCCTCCCCTCCGATTCACTCTTCTCCTTGAAAAGTTAAAGAAAAACTCTTTCATTGTTGTGCAATCCCTCCCCCCCAAGTCCACTCCACTGTGCAGCCTTCAGGGCAGTTTTTTCATGAATACAATGTAGATACTAAAGACCTGAAACATCAGTCATTTGAAGACTCTGGTCAGGAATGGCTTTATTCAAGCCTGTGCAAGATATTTAGAGTCTATTGTAAATATTCTAGATAGTTGAGAAAACATCTCCACTCCCCGAGAATGGGAAATATGTCATCATAATTATTCCCTTTCCTTTTGTCTTTAGAGGACTTGTGAGCAGTCACAGAGGACAGAAAATCCCTCCATGTGAAATATGTGGGAAAACATTCATGCATTTCTCCTCCCTAAAACTACACTTACGGCGGCACAGTGGAGTGAAGCCCTACGAGTGTAAAGAGTGTGGGAAAGCCTTCAGTTGTCCCACGTACTTTCGAGAACACGTGAGAATGCACACTGGAGAGAAACCCTACGAGTGTAAGTATTGCTGGAGAGCCTTCAGCTTTTACTCCTCCCTGCAAGAGCACGAGAGAACTCACACTGGTGAGAAGCCCTACAAATGCAAGCAGTGTGGGAAAGCCTTCACATGCTACTCCTCCCTCCATGGACACGAGAAAACACACAGCGACCAGAAAACTTACGAATGTAAGCAATGTGGCAAAAGTTTCAGTTGTCCTAAATACTTCAGAATACACGTGAAAATGCACAGTGGAGAGAAACCCAATGAATGTAAGCAGTGTGGGAAAATCTTCATTTGTCCCAAATACTTCCGAAAACATATGCGAATGCACAGTGGAGAGAAACCTTTTGCTTGTAAGGAGTGTGGGAAAGCCTTCATGGTCCTTTCCTACCTTGAAAGCCATATTCGGACGCACACTGGCGAGAAGCCCTTCGAATGCAAACAGTGTGGGAAGGCATTCAATTGGCCCACCTCTTTACAAGCCCATATGCGAACACACTCTGATGTGAAACCTTATGAATGTAAACAGTGTGGGAAATACTACAAGTGTTCCAAATACTTTGAAATTCACGTGAAAATGCACAGTGGAGAGACACCCTATGTATGTAAGGAATGTGGAAAAGCCTACAGTTTCCCCTCATCCCTTCGTGAACACATGAGAACACACAACAGCAATAAAACCTATGAATGTAAACAGTGTGGAGAGACGTTCAAGTGTTCTAAGTCCTTCCGCATACATGTCAAAATGCACAGTGGAGAGAAGCCCTATGTCTGTCAGGAATGTGGAAAAGCTTACGGTTTCCCCTCCTCCCTGAGAGAACATATGAGAACACACACTGGAGAGAAACTCTATGATATTAGAAAGAAACCTTTTGAATGTCAGCAGTGTGGGAAAGCCTTCATGTTCCCTTCCTGCTTTCAACGCCACCAGAGAACACACAGTAAAGAAAAGCCCTACGAATGTATGCAGTGTGGGAAAACCTACAAGTGTCTGGAATCCCTTCAAGGACACCTGAAGAAACACACTGGAGAGCAGCCCTGAGCACAGAGAGCAGGCAAGCCTGCCTTCATTCCTAGAGCCGCCTGGTACACACATCTGGAGCCTCCTTGTACATGAAAGAAAACCTGGGGGAAACACTTGTGAGTAAGGAATGAGAAAACCTTCAGATACAGCAGTCCTTCCCTTATAGACGTAAATGCTGAAGAAGAAAGAAACCTTGTCATTTGTACACATACCATACTGCCATTGTAAGGGACTCATTCTTCACACAGTTCTATCACGTATTGCTCTAGTTTATGTTTCTAATGTAAGCAACTAAGGGACTGTCCCTTTATGTCCTTGGGTGGCACAAATGATTGAGTGCTAAACTTTCTGAAAGGCTGGTGACCCCAGGCCACTCAGAGGTGCCTTTGAATAGACTTCTCACAGTTTTACTTCCAAAAACTCCGTCACTGAAGACCCTGTGTGGTGCAGTTCTATTCTGGAACACACTGGGCGCTGTGAAATAATGGCATCTTCCTTTTCGTTTTCATGTTCTCTCTTAGCTGTGCCACATACATTTTGTTAAATTTTAAATAACTGTAGTTACATAAAACAGATGTCATTTCCAGTATGATATCTTTTGAACTAAAAGGTTTTTGTATTTGTTTTTAAATGCTCAACATGGTGTGCTTTTATATAAAAGTATTTTGATTTATGTTTTTCATGTACTCATGATGATATAAGTGTTGAGATTGTTAAAATTTATTTTCTGGTCCATTCTTGCACATACTTGAATTGGCTGGCTTGATATCTACCTTCTCCTGCACTCATTGTTAAAATACATGTCATTCACATTTATTTGTTTCTTGTCAGTACCAAACCCAACATTCCTAGCAAGATTTATTAATTGTGCCAATGATTATGTTTCAGTTTTGAGCTTTGCTCATTGCCCTTAACCTTGGTTGGAAAGCTTATACAATACCTTGAGTTTAGAAGAGTCTTGGTATCATGAAGATGAATGCTAGCATACAAATGGTTCTACTGAATTAACACGGTCAACGTAGGTTAGATTGGAATTACATGTTCCTGAGGCCTTTTAATTGTGGATTGACCTTCACAAGAAGGTGCCTAGTGAGGGCTGGCAGGCGAAAGTGGACACCCTGGGCCTGCAGCAGCAGCTTAGGCTACTGCATTTCTTTGACTTCTGGCTCTGGCATTGAAGAATGGTCTCAGTGGTGGTAGGGGAATTAGGAAATGAGAAGAAGCAATGGCTGTACAACTTGAAGGTGAGTAATATCATTGAGTTGTATATGTGGAGTTTTTTTGGTGTGTTTTGCTACATACATGTTTTCACTACCTCCACACACACACACACAAAACCCAAACAATTGTCTCAAACCAAACATCACCTTTTGATTTTAGTTCCTTCCCACACAGCAGCTTCCACCAGTTTTCCAGCTCCTAGTTTGGACATTCCTTTGTACTCAGGCACACACTGCTTTGTCCAGTGTCCTCTGTCCTTCCAGCTCTTTGGCATTGACAGATCTCTATTGTTTGGTTGGTTTTTAAAAATTTTTATTTTATTCTTTTTTGTGTGTACCGTCAAATCAGATCTGACTGGTACAGGAGGAGATTGCCCCTCCTTCTCCAGCAGAGCATCTGGTAGATTTGAACCGTGTACTTCTGGGATTGCAGTGAAGCTTCTTGCCACTAGGCCACCAGAACTCCCGATCTCTGTTGTTTTAAGCACCATGTTCTTAACTGTAGTAGTTGTTTTCCTGATTCCCTCCTAACAGATAAATGCTGCGACCTAAACGGCAGGAAACACAATTCCCTAGTGGCTTTGTTAAGAGTCTGCCAGGTCAGGAAGTGACTTTACCCGACATTTCTATGAGTGAAATATAGACTTGGAATATACATGGTAGATGATGGGAGTTTTCTGTTACAGGTGAATGCTATTTTTTAGTGATAAACTAATTTTCTATTTGATTGCCTGCTATTTAATGTCTTTCGTTTTTTATGTGATTGAAAATCACATTTTTAGCATACATAATTTTTACTATGTATTGTGTACTTAAATGTATCATGGTTGTGTTCCAGTAATTATTTTCTTGGCTGAGATGAAATATTAAAATAATCACATTCTGATGATTTGTTAATTTGTCCCTGTATATGTATCTATTTTTCTTTATATATTCTAAGATAATGGTATTAAATATATACATATGCCTTTTGAGTTTTTCTTTCTGCTGTGATTTTATTTAATTTAAAATCCACAGCTACTTACTCATTCCTTATAGTGAAAAACTAAATTATTCATGTCAGCAACCTCCGGTCAAAGAAATTCTGAAGCACACTTTCTGTGCTCACACCTTGTTGAGACACCTGGCTCACTGCAGAGTTCAACGTCATGTTCCGTGAAGTGGCCTTGGGTGTCGGTATGAGGATGATGCAGGAATTTTACCAGTTTTGAAAATTTATAACAGAGCAGGACTTTGTGCTAGGTTGAAAGCATTCAGTGTGGGAGGAAGGGTAGTTTTATGAATGGAATCTAATTTTGTATCTGCAGTGTTGGAAAAAACTTGACAAAAGCTGAAGCTGATGATGGAAGGAAGCCTCAGTCACTCCTCTTGACAGGAAAGTTGGGTGGGTTAGTCTGGTGCTATGAGCTTGTCCTTGCCGCTTCTCCAAGAGATCTATTTTTATTGACAACTTTTGTCCTGACCACAGAGCAGGTCTGCCTCTTACTGGTGTTTTATGAATCTGGTTCCTTTTAAATTTGTGGTCACCTCCTAGCAAGACTGAGACCAGACTGTTAGATCATAGATCATACTTTTCCCTCAGACACTCTGTCCTGGAAACCTTCCTCTGTTAGTAGATTGTGTTGATCATGAGATAGACCCACGCTCTGTGACTCCATTTACAGTCGTCTCCCCTTGCCCTCATTGTTTTGAGGTTATTGAATAGTTTGACTGTAAGAAACCCTGATTCATTTTAATGACAGTGTGACTGTGGCTTTGCAGGAGTCCCTGTCCCCAGGATAGGGAAATGTTGTTGGTTGGAACTAGGTAGTTCTCAGTTGATTAGTCCCAGGACATGCTTTTTGAACACTGGGGCCTCATTTTAGAACACAGGCACCCACCAGGGTATTTTGTGCTTTGGACTGGTCTGCTTTACCTACAGTGTTTTCATGTTGTTACATGCCGTCAAGTCCACTCACAGCTGACCCTACAGTGGGTTTTCAGAGGCTGTCAGTTGTACTGGAGGATACTATCCATATTTGTCCCTCAGAGCATCAGTGGATATGATGATCTACATGCCTTCTGGGTTGGCAGTGCAATTCTTTACCCGCCAGGCCAAGCTTCCTCAATAAACTCCACATAGGGAAAGGGGTGAATAAGCAAATGCTGTGTTATGTATATTTTTGGGACAAGAATGAAAAAGTGCTGGTAGGAGCCTACAGATAACTAGTCACCTCATGGAATGAAATCTATTGGTTTAGAAATTAATCTCTATTTTATAGGTACATGAAAATGTGCTGGCTAAATCTCAAGTTTCCCCTTGTCTATTAAGAGCACTGATGTCAGTTTAAACGCTGAGCCTGATTCAAGCTGTAGTCTTCCAGTCATCTGCTGTGCATCTGAGAGCCAGATAATAAGAATGATAAAGAAGAATCAATGCCTTTGGAGGTGTGTTGGAGAAGAGTGCTGAATATTCCATGGACTGCTATAAGAACAAAGAGATTTATCTTGGAGTGAGTTCAACCCGAGTGCTCTTTGAAGGCAAAGATGGTGAAGCTTTGTCACACACACTTTGGACATGTTGTTGTTAGGTGGT